TCCCTGCCCTGCCCTGCTCCCGCCGGGGATGGGGACAGGGACATCCACTGCAGTGGTGACCTCAGGGCCATCAGCTGGCTGCTTTCTGCTAAATGCTCAAACCCATCCGTGTTCCTGTGTTTGGGGACATGCCGTGGCCAGCGATGCCCTGCCTGGACACAGGAGGGGGGGCAGCAGGAGCAGCCGAAGGCTGGGGGGAGGCGGGGGGGCCACCAGCCCTTTGCCCCCACGCTGGGCTTTATCCTGTACCAAGCCATGACCCAGCCAAGGGGGGACGAGCATCCCTGGGCAGTGGTGTGTGGGACTGACCCTCAAAGCTGGTCCCCCCGTGATGGCCGTGGGGTGGGAGTCCTGCCATTCCTGGCGTGGTTTTTTTAATAGAACTTCAGCTATATTTAGATCATAAATAAATAAATACATTCTTGGCTCGAGCACACTGCTCAATGCCTGATGAATGAGCAGGACTCTTCCGCAGGAAACGATCGAATTCCCAGGGCGAGGGCTGGCCGGTGCCGGTGAATGGAGCAGAGCTCTGCGTCCTGGTCAGTCCAGCCTGGCACAGCGTCTGCGGGAGCAGAGGGCTGCTCATCACTGTCGTTAATAACGGCACTACGGTGTTTGTTATGAATGCTGCACGGGAATGGGGAAAAAACCTTGATGGCGGTGAAATCCTCATCCTGTGGTTTAAGGAAAGTGAAGCTGGGTGAGAGCAGGGGTGTCCTGGCTGGAGCTCTGCGTCCTGGTCAGTCCAGCCTGGCACAGCGTCTGCGGGAGCAGAGGGCTGCTCATCACTGTCGTTAATAACGGCACTACGGTGTTTGTTATGAATGCTGCACGGGAATGGGGAAAAAACCTTGATGGCGGTGAAATCCTCATCCTGTGGTTTAAGGAAAGTGAAGCTGGGTGAGAGCAGGGGTGTCCTGGCTGGGCTGGACCGGCTGGGATGCTGCTGGGGACAGCGTCTGAGCCCGGCCCTTTTCTGCCGTCTCTTCCCTCGTGTTCCCAGCACCATAACCGGGATGTTCGGGGGTCTTGGTCCCTTAATATCACTTGATGGTCTTGCTGCCCAGGAATCCATCCAGCCTGCTCGTGAGCAGAGGCCCCGGGTGCCCGTGCAGCCACATGGGATAACGAATGGCACGGACTGAGCCTCGCCCCAGGTTTGCATCGGTTGGCGTGTGTTTCGGGCACTGCAGCGTGGGGCTGAGCAACCTCTGGGTGGGGGTCCCGTCTGTCACCAAAGGAGCAACCTCTGCCTGGCTGGTCCAAAGCTTCCCACTGCCCCCCGAGTCTTTGAGGGTTTATAAACCAAGTTTGGTCTTTTAACCCAAACACCTCCTCCGTTCCAGGAGGGATGAAGTCTTGCATTGAAGCCTACCCGCTTCCCAACCCCTCCCTGTCCCTGCAGTCCCCAGGGCCACCGTCACCACCTCCAGCGTGGGGGTCGGGGGAAAGAGCTGTGCGCTCCCCCTTCTGCAGCTCGGTTTAGCTCGCTCCATCTGGTTTTGCTTCTAGCACCTTTAGAACAACATTTCTTCTATCTTCTAGAGCAGGTTTATTGCTTTAAGTTGAAAAGCCAAAAGCACAATGAAGAAACTCTTCAAAGAACAGTTTATTCCCAGGAAAAAGAAATCTCACTGCATTGACCTGTTCCTCGGCCTCAGGGCTGGGATTCCTCACATGCTGACCTCCTGACACAGCCGGCTTTTGTGGGGAAAACTGCTCTGGATGAGGCTGCTCTTTCCTCTCATTTTTCCAGGGCGCTGGAGGGTTGTTTCCGGAGCCTGAGGCTGCGGGGGCTCTGCGCTCTCAACATATCATATTTGTGTTTTGCGCTTGCTAATCATCAGTCAAACTCCCATTTTAGGACATATTTTCACTAAAATGCTGCCTTGTTTGGCTCTCTCCTCCCTGTGAGTCCGGTGACATCACCCTCCAAGCAGCCGATTCAAACATCCATCACCCCAGCGCTTCCCTGCGCTGCCCAAGGACCCACTGTGCCGTGGGGACACGGGGCACTGTCCCCTCTCACCAGGGACCTGGGGACAGCGGGGCTGTCAGCCCAAAGTGCATCTCCAGCAGCTCTGCCTTTGAAGGGAGCTTTAACCTTCACCCAGCACAGAGCTGGGGCTGTGCTGCTGGCACCTGCCGAATCCTGCCTGGTCATCCAGGGGTGGTTAATGGGGATCTGCCCCTGAGCATCCTGATGAGCCCCGCCCCCCCTTACACATATCGCCATCGGACATGGCCTGGGTACCACACATGGAGGTGTGGGTACCACGCACGGGGATGCGGGTACCACGCACGGGGATGCGGGTACCAGACACAGGGATGTGGGTACCACGCGTGGAGATGTGGGTACCATGCACAGGGATGTGGGTACCATGCATGGGGATGTGGGTACCACACATGGAGATGTGGGTACCACGCACAGGGATGTGAGTACCACACACGGGGATGTGGGTACCACGCATGGAGATGTGGGTACCATGCCAGTGCCACAGCTCGTGGCAGAGCCTGGTTTTTTCACATCAGTCTTTTTCCTCTCCCTGCCCACCCCGCAGAGCTGGCCCATCCAGCAGTACCTACTGGTACAGCACGGCTGGGATGGCACAGGAGAACTGGCTTCATTTCCCTGTTCCGGAACTTTCTTCTTGCCGTGTCAGATATTCACAGCCCAACTCTATAAATCTCCTTTTGGCAGAAACCCCACTATAGATAAACCCTGTGCCAAGAGCTAATTAGAAATAAAAAGAAGATTTACTTTGAAAAATCAGCTGAAGTGCGATATTTCCTGATTGCATAAACTCAAACAAAAGAAAACTTGCACATCAATGACTCCTAAGAGATAAACCAATTTATTTTGTTACATTTAAGAATTAATCTGAGTCATTTTATTACAAGAAGTGGTTTTGCCAGCTCGTGCTGCTGGTGTTTCTGGCACTAAAAGGGTTGAGGGCAGTTCAGTTTGGGATGTCCGTGGTCACGCAGTGCCCGTCCCTCATGGATGCTCCTTCGCCCCTGTCCCAGGACACCCTGTTTTTTCAGTGCCACGAACCTTGTGGGTGACGAAACAGCCCAGGGAGGGCTCCCAGAGGAA